GATTCGCTATTGTCGTCTAAAAATTGTAAGATAAATATTATCATTGGCAATTTGTCCGAGGACTTATGACTCAACATAATAGAATTTCTTATCATGGTTATTTCACTGGTTATCGATCTGACGCCTGTTTAACTCTAACGCGACGTAGCGTGAAGTGGTTCTATCAGAGCAATCTCAAAACATTGAACCTGTGTCCCATATTCCTTGCCCCTTCGGTTGGTACCATAAGAGACCCTTTCTCCTTCAAATAGTCTAAAAGGGCTAATTCGTCGCTGATAACGAGGATTACGCTTTTATCCTGATTGTGATAAAGTCGCAGGATAAATTCAAAACCGAGCAAACTATGCTGCTTGTTGCAGATGGCGTGTCCTTTCAACACATCGCGGGTTACCTTTATGGAAACAACGACGGAAGATGAAGCACAAGCAGGAACCAACAAAGTGTCTTTGGGACAAGGAGTTACCTATGGACAATATTTGCAGGTGAATACCACTTTCAGCCAGTAGGCAAGGCAATTACCCTGAAGTGACCACACAATCAGGTCTACTTTAAAGAAATACTCATCAAACTGATTCCCTGGATGACTTCCAATCATGTATGTGCATTGTTTGGTCGCCAGACCAAATAAGATGGAAAGTAAAGTAATAAGAAATTACCTCAAAGCAATACGAAGCATACAAAGGAGCCATGAAGTCGATTTACCATCAGAATTTGCAAAAATTGATGCAAAGGATTCCTGAACATCATTTTTGACAACAGTGGATATTTGTATACATGCCTGGCAACCGGAAACCTACCTGTGGTAAAAAGCTGGAGTTTAAAACAGCACACACGAGCTTCCAGGCAGCGACTGAAAGCTATTGATCGATCCCTGTGGGACCTGGTGAGGGTACAATTCTGCGCCGACGTCAGTTATCGAACAAGTAGATCATACCCCCCTATCGTCCACGAAAACTACTTTTTTCGTCTCCGAGTCGAGTTTTTTTCAGCTACACAAATTACTGGATTGTCAGAAGTTGCAGTCAGAAGAGCAAGGACATCGAGTTGATGATGACATCTTTTCATCATAATCCATCAATGCTATGAACTTTGGTTCAAGCAGATCATCTACGATATCGATACCGTACGTGTCCTACCCAACAACATAGTACGTTGTACGTCATGGCACATTACTTTTTCACCTCTACAAACAATTTACAGTCACTTTGATAACCTTTTCTATCTTACCGTAGTGAGAAGGTATTTTCCGATTGAACTTTGGCATTCTTTCTTCAGAAATTCAGGAAATGACCACTAACCACTGATTTCTACTACCGTAACCAGCCGGAGATCAAATAGTTTCTTTGATCAAGCCTTGAACCCTGATTTAAGCTATCTCATACTCCGATTTGACTGTGCGTCGATCGATTTATTTTTCAAATGCTGTTATACTGCTTTGTGGGGGAACAAGTAAGTCTTGGTATTACATACAAGGTATAGCTCAACTTGAGCCGAAAAAATTGACCCGATACTACCGGATAGTAANCAGTATATCAGCCTCTTCCCTTCCCTTCCGGAACTGTACGAATCCTTAAGTTACTTGTTGATCAGATTACTATTCTCGACACGATGAGTCCTCTCGACTTTGTTGACTTCAGGTCAGCCAGCTACTGCAGTTGTTCATATGTTTAAAAATTGTTTCCATAACAAGCCCGGCTTCCTAGTTTCAGGAAATACCTGTCTCCTGCCTCAGGATTTCAGTTGCTACAGTTCAGGCTTTTGGAAAACAAAATGGGAGTGTGCTGTGATCGACGAATCAAAGTACTGATTTTTACCTTTTGCTCAAATCGGTGTAACGTGAGCATTTATCACTCTATAAATAAATAACAAAAGCAGTTGGAGATACCGTACGGGTAAGTGGTGCACTATCGCAGCTTCATGATCCGAGGATAGAATCCGGTGATGATGCTTGCCTAGACCAAACGAGACTTCTATTCTTTCGGTCAATTGATCGGTACCAGAGTGATTTGGCAAGGAAAAATCAACCGCAAGTCGTTGCATAGCTCATAAATGTAACAAACATATGCATTCAATGCCACTACGGTGATGAACAAGAGTCGAATAGACGGCGCTTTCTTAAACAGAATTTATCAATGGCGAGTAATTTGTACTCAACTACAAAATATTCAATGGACATAAGTACCTCTTGTCTAGAGAGCACTGTCCGATCTGAAAATAGTTAAGCTTGCTTCCTCGGATGGTGCCTGGTCAGGGGATGATACAAAAAGTCGGCTTAAGAAGCATACCAATGGCTGCTTTCATAGTCCGCCGGCCGGCCGGCCGGCCTGCGTGAACGAGGCAGTGCTAGGGGGGNGGGGGGAGGAGGGCGGCAGGCGGTCGGTCAGCCCCTCACCACATTCTCCAGAATGAATAGAAAGCAATTCTAGAGAAAGCTGTCTGACCTGAGAGGAATGAAACGTGTCTCTCCCGAAAATACCCATTCCGGAAAATATGGGAAGATTTGAGAAACGTACCTTCTGAGGTATTAAACAGTAATGAAACCTCTCTCAGGAGATCTCAGGAGAAAACAGTTCGAGGTCATTTTTCAGGACGCAAATGTGGTAAAGATATCTTTCCAGCATTCGATAAGAGGGGGCTTGAGAGAGGGCAGGTTCGTGAACGTCGATGGGAAGATATGATTGAAATTGAAATCGTAATTGGAATCATTCAGAATCTAAGATGCTTCTTCTCGAATGGTCAAGAGGTAGGCAACATAAATTTGCGACGAAACATTGATTGTAGTGGTGTCAGCACATTTTCGTAGAGTCATCGTACTCACAGAACGTTCTTTAAAACTATGTTGCGTATCTTCTGCCTGTATTCGTGTGCAAAAAGTTCTTTTTGCACACTAATACAGGCAGAAGATACGAAACATAAATTCACAATTCCTCTTCATTTCGATCTCACTTTTGGCAAGACTTACCCGACCGCTAATGATCTTAGATTCTCATCTAATGAAATATATGTATCCACATCATTGATATCGCATTTAATCAAATGATCTTCACGCTCTTTATCGTGCCTACGTGACTTTTGGGAGGACACACAAACGGGCATACAAACAGATACGCAAGGTGTCAAACGATTTAGGTTTTTTTTCTGCTGTTTAGCTGAGTGTGAGTTTTGTCCTCTGTTTAGCTGAGTGAGAGTATGAAAGTGAGATAGAGCTCGAAATCCTTCTTCGACACAACAGAAATCGAAAGCTTCCCTGCTTCTTTGATAAAGTTGTAGTAAGTATAACTCTCCACTCCTTTTTTGAAATAAATGAGTTTCCTGTACACGAAATTTGACACAGGACAAACAGGGCAGTGCAAATGGTATTCAGATAATGTCGGCGCTTAGACCTTTGATTGGAAGCCGCGAACTTTTGCTGTTTCTTAGAAATAACTTAAAAAATCCAACTGTTAGACAATCAAAGATGATGTTCTGAGTGATGATAGCTCCGTTATCAGATGTTCTTTATCAATAGGCCCTCTTCTTTACGGAGATATCATTGGTTGAGAATTCCAAATTACAGGTGGTCAATTAAGTTTTGTCGCAAATGACATCGAGCAAAGAAGATCCCTCACTGAAACACAAATCTTGCTGGGTAGCGGTTGTAATCTAATAGTAAGAAATGAACGAAGTTCTAATCTGTCTATCGAATTGCCCTGATGGGTCCCTATCGCTGCATTCACCACCCACTTTTGTCACCCTGCTCTACCATCCCGTCTTATCGAATGAAACATAACGAACGGTCAAAGCTACATCGTAGATACCGAAGATATTAGGATTTTGATTGGTAGGTAGCCTCGTAGGTCCCTTATCTTCTCTTATCGGCTATGATTAGTTCTTGTCACCGAGCACCTACGATCCCGCCATATCCTACATCACTTACTAAAATGCTGACGTTCCACCGTTAGTACGAAAAGTGTAATCCTATCCCTTATCTTATCAGCTATGATTAGTTCTTGTCACCGAGTACCTACGATCCCGCCATATCCTACATCACTTACTAAAATGCTGACGTTCCACCGTTATTACGAAAAGTGTAATCCTACCTAGTTTGAAAGCTCTCGGTCCACGGGGCAGGAGTTATGAATTTGCGGCCTAAAATTTCTGTCGCGCACGCCTCATCCCCTGTGCATGGAATCCGGTCCCGCCACTCACCATAAGTGTTCCCATCCTCCCGCCCGTACTCCCACAAAATTTCAACGCTCTAGGCCCACGCTCTAGGCCGAATTATGAATTTGCGGCCCAAAATTTGTATCGCGACGCCACGCCCCTGTGGACGGAGTCTGGTCCTGCCACCCACCATAGGTGTTCCCATCCTGCCCCCCGTCCTCCTACCAAGTATGGACGCTCTAGATCCGCGGGGACAGAAGTTATTAATTTCCGGTCAGACACACACACCGACACACTTAGCGAATTATACATAGCAGGATAGGATATAGTTGATTTATATAGCAGTTCAGAGTAGCCATCAGTCCTGGTAACCACTCATATGCCACTACTATAAAAATATCAAGTGGTTGCCGAATCCTTCCGAATGTCCAATTGGGGTAATCGATCATTTCCAGTTTCAGATGTGAACTGAGGGCTACTGGACTTAACTCGAACGCAATATAGTTTATTTTGCCAACAAAATTGCCATAATTCTAGACATCTAACCATTAGTGAGAACAGTTGACTGCAGCGACTCCAGTGCGCTTTGTATCAAGCTGCCTCTTACGGGGTACCCTACTATCACGAGAGGATAGTTTGTCTTTTGTTCTGTTACAACAACATAGAAATAACATCTTGATGCAACAAAACATCACACAGCAGCAATAATTCTGCGCGTTATCACTGTACCATGAAGAAGTTCTCTAAATTTTCTTTTACCTTCCAGATTATTCCAATAAAAACTTTCATTAACCACATTGAATCCGCTTTTCCAAATTCTCTTCTGAAGCAGCAGTCTCATAAATTCAATCACAAGGCTTTGTGTTGTTCATATATTTCTGAAGGAAAAAGAAGCAAACGTAAGTCACATCACGACAAAACAGCTACAGGCGCAGAACTTGTTACTGGACAATGACAGTCATAAGGAAACTCTACATATGCAGTGCATGCATATTGACAAACTCTCAACAGAGATCATACTTGTAATATATAAAAGATAATACACAAGTTGTCATAAACAACACTATCATGAATTGAGTTGAACACATTCTTTCCACTTCCCTTCTGATCGATCAATACCTCCGTCTGCGTTCGCCCTGAATGGATGGTTTGGTCGGAAAGGTCGGAAGAAAATAAACTGCTTTCTCCAGAAATCATTGCGGTCATTTTAAGCGTACAAGAACTCTAGCCAAGGGAGCAAAGTAATCATGAAAGCTTGGGTTTGAAACTTGGGTCTGAAACCATACATAGTGAAGCTTCATGATTGTCTCAGTGAAATGCTGTCAGGAACGGCTTGATATAGAAATTATAAATTCGATCTAAAAAGCGTAAAAGAATCAACCACAACCCAAAACCTTCTCTCGGATTCTACAGGGTGGACCAAATTATGATTACAGCGCGCGCTGACGCTCACAGCGAATTTTTTCTTAGGGCATAGCATTTCGTTTGCTTACTTCTATTTCACAAGGTGGATAACATTATTACCTCCCTGATGATACTAAACGTTTGGAGATTGTGAAAATAATGTCAAAAATCACACGTGAATAAACCGTCACTTCGCATCTACAAGCACTCTTGGCACGGTGCATCTACAGACGACTCAATGTAACAAGGCAGGGGGCACATTCTATTATAAGACGCTTTTGAGAGTTGGGAACAACTGCAGATAGGAGAGGTAATCCTATGAGGCTTGCGGTTATATTTAGTGGAAGTTTTGAGGAAGAAGGGCGAAGGTCTGCGTAGCAACGAAGTTCATCCTGAGCCCAAAATGATTAAATGAATGGATATTTCATATTATAAGATCAGGAAGTGTTTTCCCCAGTGAGCAGAATAAAAAGAATAGAAATGTTGGCTGACCAAAACTGCCCCGCCGCAAACAAAAAATTGACGTAGGGAGTTCCTGTTCACCGATGAAAAGATATCCGCGGTGAAAAAGGTGCCAATAAGCAGGGCTACAAGATTTGTATAAAGCTGAAAGAAATGGAAATGATGCAGCGCTAGGATCGCTAACTTTCTGCAATATCCTTCGCGAGCGTCATCGCCGAGGCAAAAGCACCGATTATTTTTGTAAAATATTGAGTGAAAGTTGATTTGGAGACATGTTCGATCTCTTCGTGCGCAATAGGACACATTGGCGACTCAAACCCGACATATTGTTAAGATGGTGCTCCTGATTGCAGATCAGAAATTGTCTAGAAATTCATTAAAATTGGTTCCCTGACCTCATAACCTTCGATCAGTAACCACTCTGGAGCCGTGACTCAAATCCCATGGGTGTCTCAGTGTGGTCAGTCTTTTAGGTGAAAGCATCCGTCAGCCCAAAAAAAAGTGAAATAATCTCGAAAATGCTTTGCAAAAAGCCGGGATCAACTCGATGACCTTAGCTGCGTGCCACCGCTAATGTTGTCCATCATCGTCTTTGGGGTTGGGTGAAAGCAGAAAGCAACAGATCTCAGCTTCAATGCACTATTTTGATAAGAGATTAGTGATAGACACTTTTATGAAACTGGTTTGCTTTCTTAGCTTTTTATTCGTTTTCGAAGATGCGATGTCTGTGTAATCATAATTTTGGCCTACCCTGTAATGCCGCATATGCTATACTGAGCATCTTCGAAACCAAAATAATAATGGTACCTAACTATGTTCGATGATTAATAACGGGACCTGAAGAGTATCGAAACATGGAAAACTATGAGGTAAATGGAGACTTCGAAAGTTTAGAAAGTTCAGAAACAAACTTTCTTAGTTTCCAAAGTCTTCTCAGTTTTTGAGCGCAACAATCAGCCTCCCACTACTTGATATTGGGAGCCATCTTTCGAACGATTCTTGGCGCGAAAGGTGATTAATGAAACGACATTTATACTTTGGGTTATACTCGTTCGGAAGATGCTCCTAATACCAAGTCACGTAATGCTCCTATTGAAGCGAAAACTGTCCCTAACAGCACGCAAAATCCATCTACAGGGCGCGCCATAAATATGGTAACAACTTTACGGATGCCTAGAATTTTCCTGTTTGGAGGTTATTCCAAATCTGCACGATGTCTTGTGTTTATTATTTAAATTAGCTCACATCTGCTTTGGCGCCCTCAATTGCTAGTATTCGAAAAATAGTAAAGCAATTATCCGCCAGCCGTTCTATCTTTGCGAGCACTTGAAAAGCCCTTTCCGGAATCTCTCATCGTGTCGACTTCCCTCGCACGACAGCCTCCTGTATCGCGGTGCGTGGACCGGTCAACGAGAAGCCTCAAGAAGGTCGTCCTGTCTCGATTACGACCTCTTTACCCTTGAAAACGCGTGGGAATAATTACGCTAAGAGAAACCTGCCAAAAACGAGTGAAATGACCGGCGAGTTGAATGTATGTTTTACTTCAATGAAAGTGGTCAACCTCGAAAAAAAAAATATTGTACTCAGATAGTTCTCGGAAGCATTATGAATTTTTGATGACAAGAAAACCGGCAGAGTGTGCACCCCGCTTTGACACACTTTTTCTGGTACAAAGGTGTTCAGCGTGGAAGAAATATCTAGATTCTAGAGTACACGTATGTTTCTCTTTACAAATGGCAAGGAAGTTGAGAAGAGTCAGATCGTTCCCAGTAGCCATTCTCCTACTCTATGATTGTTCAGGCTGGAATCTGTGCCATCAGAGCGATATCGCTCAACTTTGTCGAGATTAGAATAAAATTTAATTAGAACATCTTCATTTCATGTTGAAGGACACTTCTGAGAAGGCGCTGTTTAGGGTCAAAGATTAGAGTGGGAAAACGAAGTGAAAACACTTGCATAAATGCTCACGAATGGTAAAGATCCCTACTGCCGCCGTCGACGAGTAACCGAAGTGCCTATGAGCTGTAATCAGTACAAGAGAAGGTTAAATCAGATGAGCGTGCGTTCAATTTGTTGATGCGATGCGTAGTGAATAGTTCACATAAATTCAATCAATCAGTATGTACCATGTATCAATATGAATTGCGCTTTCTGGACAACAATTATTTTGTTACCATATTTGTGGCGCATCCTGTATGTTACTTAAGTACAATAAATTCTAAATTGCTCGACATCTATTCAAACCCACTCTAATGTCGTTTAAGCAAGTCATGCACACACGTGGGCGGTTCGTGTGATCAAATGGGCAGCTGGATTTGTTGCAGGTGATGTCATATCGACACATACCATGAGAATAGATACATTTCGCACCGGGACAGTTGGGAAAGTTCCTGAAAGCGCACACATACGACGTAGAGCTTTCTGTAAATAATGTTCCAGAGCTCGCACATTATTCGAATGCTGAGCTAAAGTCAGCTCCAGAGAAAATTCGGCAACTACTACAAAAATAGATAACAAGCGCACCTGCACTTCACAGCTGCACCATGCGGACAACGGCCGACACCGCGAAGAGCAACCGCATCACTGGACGAAGATTTCGTTTTAGACGAGTGTTCGTACATTTTCTTTTTTAGAACCTCCTAAAAGCCATGTTCATGTCCAAATAAGCTATATTACAGAATGTCTCAAAATAATGGACACCAAAATCCAGTCCCTTCTAAAGTAAGAATAGTCATAAACTTCACTTCATTCGCTATTACTTAATGGTAACATGCATGGTTACTGAAGTAAAACTCCCAGTATCCTTTGAATGAGAGGCTCATGCAATCGATGACATGCGAGAAGCGAAAGGCATCATGAGATCTCTTGGGATTTTCATTATACCCGTACAGAAGGCTATTAAACGATATACACTATACACCTATACAGAAGGCTATCATTAATTAACTTCAATTAAATTGAAGAAGGTACAATTAAGGACGAGCCAGGGACAGGTAGAAAGGCAGGGTTTCTAAAGGCAGGGTTATAAAATTATGGTCCGTTCGCGGCTCGATCGTGATTTTGGTTCAGACATCAAAAAGATGTCAGAGCAGCAGCAATTATCAAAGTTGTCGGTGGAGCGGATGTCGAATTAGAAGCTTCACTGCCGTTCCTATAGCATGCAGAAATGGCAATACATTTCCGATCTTCACAGTCCGGGGCCAAAAAATGCAGAAAGTTGCTACCTCACTTTCGTGGAAACAAGCAACAAGCAACCTTCCATTGCTTTTACTGTCTAAGAATTTTTACGGCAAAAACATTTCACAACATATAAAACGACACGTTCTGGCTACAGACATCGACTAAGAAATCTCTCAAGAAAAAGTTGCTGTAAAATCAGCGAAATGATGTTTATGAAGTAGTCACCGGCAAGGGTAAGGTGCCCGTGGTTTCTTCGTTACCGACGTTGGAAGTAACAGCGACCTGTACACGAAAATCATACTGATAGACGCACAGATCCGACTCCGCTTTCTGAAACAGCTCGTACTCCTTCCAGCACGACGGTATTCCAGCTCACAGAGCCAAGCTCGCCCAGGAGTGGGGACGACGCTAACTGCCCGACTTCATTGGCAAAGAGGAATAGCCAGCCTGCTTTCCAATTTTTAATTCACTTGACTCCTTCGATGGTCCCTGTTTAGGAGAGGACCTGTCGGGTTGTTTGAAGTCCTAGATGGTAAGATTTAAGAATGGCTTGGAAGAAATGAAGGAGGATACTTGCGTGCAACATGCGAGGAAACTGAGAGCACACTTCAGGTTACTATCCGTGCTAATGGGGATACTTTAGAATGTGATTGTAGCATGTTGTAATGCCAGCAAATGTGCATATAGGTTCCATTATCATTCTCAGCTCAGAAGTTTTAAGTGAACTGCCATGAATGACGCCCATAATTTTGGAACAACCAAGCCTGGTTCTGGGATACTGATCATAAGCCAGCTGCACAATACAAGGATGGCGGTAGTGTCGCAAATAATATCGTTTTGAAGTTTAAGTATACCTTATAGACATGTCCCCTGAAATCGTCCCACGAAGCTTTGTCGAGCTTATCCGCTGGGCCACCAAACTTCTCATCACAGTAATAGCATACAACATCGTGTGAAGCATGTCGAAATAACATATGTGCTGCAAGTTTGGTGACAGAAACCGCGTCCTGAAATGATTACCCAAGTATCCGAAAAATTTGTTGCAGTATCAGAATACTAGAAGAGTGCTACAGGTTAACAAAGTGATTTACAAAAATAATCTCTATAAATAAAAAATAAAAACTAACCAAACAATCACCTGTAACAGCCGGTTAAATCGAAAAGAAAAAATAACCTTATCGCAATGGGCACAGGGGATTTTCATGTCATGTGCGCGAATCTCATGCTCAGCAAGCTCTTTAATTGTGTAAAAGCCACGACGACACTTCTTACATGAATATGGACATTCGTCTTCAGGTAAAAACAACCTGAATATTCAGAGATGTACGAGAAGATCACTACTGTTCTGGTATCAATAGAACCGATAACCTACTCTAAGCCCTCATATGTTCCTCGGCTCGAAGAGCTCGAACTGCGTGCACGCTTCCTGGGCGGGCTGCGTTTGCGCCTATGGCGCGATTTGCGTGGTGACCTGCTAAAACAGAAATTAACCCTACTCAAAAATCGGGAATAGACAATAGAATGGTTGTTTACCTCCGGCTTCGGCTGCTTTCCGAAGAATCGCTATCGCTGTATGTTGGACTCGACCTGCCGCCTTTTCGTCTACGATGTCTGGACGACGAGCGTTTTCGTCGTGGTCTATCACTGTCTGACGAATCCGGAGTAGATGCACTGGCCTTTTTCTTGTCCTTCTCCTTCTCCGTCTCCCTGGCTTTTTCCCTATCTCTGTCCTTTTCCTTCTCCTTGCCTCTTTCCTTTTCTTTTTCTTTTTCTTTTTGTTTTTCTTTTTCCTTCTCCTTCCCTTTCGAAATTTCGTTCTCTACGTGACGCATGACATCTTCCACAATCTAAAAACATTTTTCAGCACAAAACGGTTAATGAAAAAGAAGCAATGAGAGCCAAGAGTATTAAGGAAGGGCATCATTCAACCGATTATTCATTCTTAGTATGGGGATAAGCGTCCGAAAATCAAATTCGAAAAAAGCAGCTACAACACAGCACTTCCCCTTGCTCATTTTCATCATTTTCACATACAACTAATGATTCTTATTCGATAGAAGTTATTGCAGACTTCTTAACGAGAGTCTGGAAGTCGAAAAGAAATGAATATGAGTAGGCAAGGCCCATTGTGAGCTTAGCATTCGAGAGCTTAGGGAAGCTTCGCCAACTGAGCGGGTCTTGCATCCAATTTCGAAAAAGCACCTGAAGACGTCAGGTCGAGTTTGGGATAAATGGGGCCGTGGCCGCGATCATCAGAGCACGTATGAGTTCGGGGGATTCCCGGTCAAAAGTGGCGGAACAGGCACAGGAATGGGCGGTGCAGTGGAAAAAATTTAAAATTCAGTATCAGAAACCAGGCGGCTACGCACGCTCTCACGCGCGCTAGAGGCTCTAGCCATGAGAGACGGGCCGCATGAGCTGATTTTCATTACAGACCTTTTTCGGAATTATGAGTTCCCGCTCAAACCCCGCCTCCCGTGGGCGGAGTATGGTCCTGCCACCAACCAAAAGTTTTCCCAATCACCCACGTGAGTACTTAAGTAGCCGGCGGCATACCGTAAATAAAAAAAATTCCCTAAATCTAACCGCACAGAACTGAAAGTAGACAAGCGATATGAAGCGAAGAATGGGGTCTTGTATGTACACGCAGAAGTTAAGATCATGAACCATTACATACGAGATGGGGCGTTTAACCATATTTTTGGAAGGAAATAGGATATGAGCTTCTATCGGCTGGTCAATCCCTTCACCTGCTTTTGAGGAAGTAAGACGCGCTGCATAGCTTCCTGGTATCAATCTAACATCAACATCCACTCTAGCGTCATTATCGCTCATCATATGCGTTTTACTCGACCGGAGCTCCAAATATTGGAGTCACGGAGGAATCTCCCATTCGATAACAGGTAGGTAGGTAGAAGGTATCAGCAAAGCATCAAAAGTTCATAGAACGTGATAAAAACACCATGAGAGTATTTTATGGACCTCAAGGAAAATTCTATATAATGCGAGAGTCCCGCCCCCCACAAAACCCGAACCCCAGTTACTAGCACATGAAGCGTCACGCTTACTATTACACCAAGCCGCCGTTGAGAAATGTGGCATATCTATGTAAGTTAAGTTTTCTTATGTTAAGCTCCCCGAAACCACTTTCATAGCTCCGTTCAGAGAAACGCTCGGGAAATAGAGGAAAGAAGATTTGAGCTAAGCATCCAAAAACACGTCCAGCGGTGTAGGTCTCACTTCAAACGGCCGCTTCGACTTCGGATCCTTCCCTGGTTAGCTTTGAAATTATTGCGATGAATAGGTGCCTATAACTTTCGTACACCTTTTGAATCGAAATCGTCGCCGAACGAATTTCTAATTCTATGCTTAAATTTCCATTAATGAGTCACTAGCAGAACATTGAATACTCGCTCTATTGAAAAAATTTATTAGCAGTTGATCTGATGTTTTTTCAATTGCTGTTATACCACCGCAGAACGCGATAAAAAAGTCCCTCAAGGTCGGAAAGTTAAGGGAAAAATTTCAGCTCAGACGGAATTCGAACTCAACTCGGAAAGCACAAGTACGAGTTCCGTCTGAGACCAAATTTCTGGTTATTGGCACTTCTTTAGGCGCGTCTTTTTCAATTTAGAAAAAAAAACAATATTCTATTCAACTCCGATGTGAGCCTAAGTTATGGGCTCTGACGATTTCAGTAGCATAAGCAGATTTCTCATCTCATTCATCTACATTTCGATGAATTAAACCACCATACTCGAACCCTCCACAACACGTGCATTTTGATGGCGCTCGAGTGCTTTGTATGAAAGTCAAATATTCCGAATTTCTGTGGAAATCTTTGATTTTTCAACCAGTCTGAAAGAAATGCGGAAGAATATATTCACCTCATTGGGAGGATGTACTGCAGAACATTTGCTTTCCGATTCGTTGGCTGCGGCACTGCAATCTCCATTTTTTGTGCTCTCCGCTACGACGACGGCTTGTCGATATGAATTCGGCCCGTCGGCGTCTTTTTCGAACTCGCCAGGCATGTAGATCTCATCGTAGCTTATTTCTTCGCACATCGCCTTATAAAGTGATTATACAGTATGTGTGGGTGTTGCTCAATAATCGAAGAATTTCAGGAATCGATTTGCTGATTGCACCCGGCGATGTTTTCAAATACTGCACTCTAAGAATACAGGCAAATATAACGAAACAGCAATAATGCGGATCCATTCAAAGTATATACTGCATTTGTTCATTTTTGCTGTAAAACCTTGGTTCAAGTTTCATCTTAACATAAGCTGCTCGCAAAGGCGCTTTTATCCAATCAATAAGTACGTTTTACACTGCCACTGCGCTCTCGAGTAGTGGCGAAGTTCGACAACGATAAGTCTGGCGAAAAATCCGATAACGAAACTGATCGAAAGTTGTAGTATCCACTCAATATAGCTGAACTCGTACAATTATTAATAGAGAATTGTACCTATAATGCTTCAAAGGAGTAGCATTCAAACGGTTTTCGGAGGAAAACGGTTTACCAAATTCCATAAGCATACCTTTTTAATAAATATTGGTTAACTATTATATACATGATAGCCGGGCGGAGTGTCATAACTAGGTTTATATGCGAGTAAAACAAAAAAGAATAACGTTGTACCATCAACGGCGTTGCTGAGTGATAGAAGCTGTGAAGTGAATCACACCGGATTTTCCACAGGGTTAACCGGAATCACTGATAGCACAGCATATCCATTACATGTACTACTGGTAAGATTAACGCAATAGATTGAAAATACAGCAAAGGTAACTCACTGCAAAGCATAAAAAGAAAAGAAAGAAGAAACAGTTGACAGATTGTCTTAACGCACTGAGAACCACACTCCAGAAAGCCTGGTAGAGGTTTTTTTTTCATCAACTCTCGCAGTGTTACAGAAAAATAGACATAATTCATCCAATTATATTCAACCAGCCCGCCGGTAAACCACCTCAAAGCCGTGGGAAGAAGACTTTAATGTCCAGTTTTAATTTGGTTCATGCGACAGTAATACTTCTATTTTCTTTCTAATTCTGGAACTTTATTCTATGCTCTAATGCAATGCTCCGGTGTTCTTCAGCCATGCGTGGATTTACCTTAACCGAATTGCCGCTCCGCCTTCCAATATGTGGTTAGGTAGATGTGCGAGGACTTGGAGGGATGGCGACCTTCCTGGCTTGAGTCCTCCCTGTCCCTCCGCCCGATGTCGTGGTTAATCTCGTCCTCCATGCATTAAGCTGCGCACAGCAAGACCCGTTACGTTATGTCTAGCCAGGAAAGGATCCCAAGAAGTGGCCTTTTGGCATGAGACCTATATTGCTAGACGTGTTTCCGGATGCTGACCTCAAATCTGCTTTCCAAATTTGCCTAGCGATCCTCTGAATGGAGTTATGAAGTGATTTTAGGTGAGGCCCAACATTAGCGAACTTGAATAACATGGATGTAATAGGTCTACCAGCGGTGGCTTGAATAGTGGTAGAGCTCGAGTTTTGGGGGAGGCGATAATTTTGCACTGTAGTGAATTTTTCCCCTGTGTTCTAGAAATTCTTTTGATGTTGATTTCATCGCGTTCTATCACCTTTTGATGGTTGTGGTGGCAAGGTTCTTACCCAAACCTTGCAATATCGCTCCGATATCTCTCATGTTTGTTTACGCTATATTTACAGTGAGGCGAGTGCGGAGTAGTAGCAGAAGGCGCCCATCACACACGGATGGTTCGCAGATCGAGCTCCGTTCGGGCCAACCAAACCTTCCATCCCTCGGGGGTCGGTTAACTAGTATCAGTAACTACCAGTAACTAGACTCGCCTGGTTGGATAGAAGCCATGACCCGTACATTGGGTGATAACCGCGAATCACTGCTAGGTCACATACGCATTCTACATGCCACCGAGGGAGGGGCGCAACCCAAAAGCAGAATCGATCAATGCCAAAGACTTGATTTTTTCAATCCTCTATATTCACGATGAAACTCAGAACGATAAGCACAGTACGCAATCTCTGGCCCCACGAGATCTCAGAGAAGTAGATGAAGTAGTGCGACTCCTCTCTGCAACCATCCACTTTTTCGCTATTATATAATACCTTGCCATTTCATTGATTGCCCCTAGGTTAGAAGTCTTTTGTGGTTTAAGAGTGTGAACGATCGGCTTCTCCGAACACTCACCTCCACAAAAACGGATAAGGGTAAAGTACATTCCTGCTTGTACGCTGAGGTTAAAACAGCCAACATAGCTCATTTCTTGGCCGTTCGAAAATATGATCGTGATCTCACGCGCATTAGCTCGCAACCTGAACTTTTGCTTATACGCTCGTGACTTGGCTTACTGTCACCTGCCTACTTTCAGTTCTGTGCCGTTGATTTGAAGGCTTTCTCTTTTACCCATGACACGTTGCCTGCTACTCAGGCAATCACAGGGTCACTTTGACACGCCTACACAATTCTGCTTTCTCCTTGCAAAAAAATCAAGTGATATTGCATGGTTTGGGCAAGAATATCGGTACCAAAACCATCGTATGGTCGATCAAAAGGTCGTAGAACGCGATAAAATCAACATCAAAGAAATTTCTAGGCTTTTAGAAAAAAAGTACACAATGCAAATTCACGCCCCCTACAAAACCCGAACCCTAGCCTCTCGCACATGAAGTGCCACCATTACCAGTGCTCCAAGCCACCGCTCTTAGACTTGTTACATCCATGCAATTTAAGCCCCCTTATGTTAAGCCTCACCTGAAACCATCTCATAACTCCGTTTAGAGAATCGCTCGGCAAATTACGAAAGCAAA